GTGAGATGCATACAGTCCCCAGATAAGTCCCTCCACACTCCCTCCAGCACCCCTGCATGATCTCCAAGTGCTTTCTGCAGCTATTCCACCTGTGCTGTGATCCATGGTTTCAAATACCTTCAAAACTTCTTTCTCAACGATAGAGTTTATATTGCTTTTTTCCATTCTCCTTGTTGCTTTGGAATGGTTTCAGAGACGAGAAGAGGAGAATGTCAAGTATACTCTGCCATATTTGATCTGGAAGTTCTCAGTAGGAGTAACTTTTTATTACAAGCAGGACTACTGTCACCTTATGATTCTGAAAGCCCTGTCATGTGTACCTTCCCTCCTCTATGCCGAACACATGCTAGTTATTAGCAACTTAAGCCTAAAAAGGTTACATGGCTCATTTAAGGTCTCAAAGATGACTGGAACTCAGGTCTCTTGATTCTTGGCCTATGTTCTCACTGCACTGCACACCCATACGTGCATATGGCCAAAGAACTCCATGGACCTTCCTTCTAAGCATGTTTATCACCACAAGCTTACCTCTAACAATTACACTTACAAAAAGACTAAGGAACCACATAACTGACAAATATCAGGGGTTAGGAGGAAAGAAGACCAAGAAAACAAGCTTAGTTCCTACATCACCTGGCTTAGTATCTGTCACTCCTTCCATAAGAACCAGTCCCACTGGTCGCTGACAGGCAACATCACAGAAACGGAATCGCATCAGGAAGTCTCGGCTATACTGTAGTCTCTCTGTAAACCAGGAAAAGCCATACAGTGAGAGAAAGGAAGACAAGCCACATGCTGAAACCTCCTTAATACCAAGAAGCTTCCAGTGTAGGGACACAGGGGAAGCCTGGCTCTGAAGACAAGCTGAATCTCCAACAGATAGGATTTAAAGTTGTCCATTTCACTGGGAGATCATGAGGACAGTGAGAAAAACAAAGGAATTTGCTAACAGAATTGAAGGAATTACATTTTCTCTTGTCACTGAAATACTAGCTTTCTTCCAAAATGGGCACAGAGGCACAGCCAATCAAGAATGGGGTCTATGGGGGTACCTGGATGGCTCCGTTGGTTAAGCCTCCAACTCTTGATCTCAGCTCAGGTCATGATCTCAGGGTTTGTGGGTTCAAGCCCTGTGTCAGGCTCTGCACTGACAGTGCAGAACCTGCTTGGGATGCTGTCTCTCCCTCTCTCTGCCCCTCCCCTGCTTGCTCTCTCTCGGTCTCTCTCAAAATAAATAAATTTTAAAAATGTGGTACATGCTCACCTGATCTCTTGGGGTGACAGAAAGTGATATACTGACAGCAATCAGTAATACCCAGGGAGCTGGGCCATAGTGGGGCTTGTAGCTTCCTCTGGTAAAGCTGATGGGAGAAGTCTTCCTGTCCAGATACCTATAAGGAAAGAGCAGGTGGGAATGAGGACACCAAGATGGAAAAAGAAAATAGCCCATGATTTGGGACATGCAGACAAACACACGCACACACACAATCACACACTATATACATAATATAAGCAAAACATGTAAGTCTCTGGGTAAGGTTAAAAATAAGGAGCTAATTAAAACCTTATTTATTTATTTATTTATTTATTTATTTATTTATTTATTTAGAAAGCACGCCTGTGCGCAGGCAGGGGAGGGGCAGAGAAAGAGAGAAAAAGAGAGAGAGAGAGAATCCCAAGCAGACTCTGTGCTACTGGCACAGAGCCCAGGGCGGGGCTTGATCCCACAAACTGTGAGATGATGACCTGAGCTGAAATCAAGAGTCGGATGCTTAACTGACTGAGTCACCCAGGTGCCCCGTTTTATTTATTTGTTTGTTTGTTTTGAGGGAGAGAGAGTAAAATCCTTTTTGTTTTTTTAACTAGAAACACTGAATTGTCCATGAGGCAGAAATAAGGGGTAAGAGAATGAGGTATGTGCGTGAAAGAGAATAGAACGTGTATGAACATATAGTCTCCTAAATTTCACCTCAGAAAAATCTACCTGAGTCTCCACGGAGAATATCAACTTTCAGGGGCTTTAATCTGCAGTGGGAAAAGGTTTATCCTTATCTTTGGATCTTCTGGATCAAGGTCTAGCATCTTAAGCCTATCATGAGGAAACCACAGGGTCAAACCAAATGGGAAATGCACCAAAGCACTTTACCGTATCTATGTCACCATCCTCGGTCAAAGCCAATGAGCAGCCTGGGAACGGACAGAACGCAGTAGGGAAACACATTCGGCAACATCAGTCATCTGCATATCTCCAACGTGTGTAGCAAAATTCCCTTTATTTCATTTGACAACAACAAATATTTGAATGCCAAATATGTGCAAGACACTAGCTAAGTGGGGAGGCAAGAGCAGTGATAGAAACAATCTCTCTGGCCTTGAAGGACATAAATTTTCAATATGCCACCTCAAGTAAAACAGACCTGGAATCTAATGGCCACTTTCTAGCTGTGTGACTTTGGGCAAGTCAGTTAACTCCCTTGGGTTCAATATCCTCTACTATAAAATGGGACAGTAATACCACATACAATTAATGATCTTGATAATAATAACTGACTGCTAACCGCTTCCTTTGAAGCAGGAACTGGAAAATACTTTACTGTGCATTATTGTATTTGATCCATCAAACAACAACAAAAAACCCCTCTGAAGTAGTTCCCATTGTTTCCCTAGCATATGGATGAGGTGCATGGGGCTTAAGGAAGTTAAGTAACTTGCACAGGGTAGCAGAGCAGGGTCTGGAACTCAGGACTGACTGGCTTCAAAACGAGTGCTCTTAATCATTATGCCTAATGGTGACAGTCACAAGGTAGGCACTTAAATTATTTTTCCCATTCTCTTGAGCTCCTTGACCATGGCAGCTTTCCAGCAGGATAAGGCCTTTCTCTGCATACATGAGAACCAGGATATTGCTAGTAACCTCATTAAAATAAAAGTCCAAAGTGCTTAATAACAATTCAGCCATTTTTGTGCCCTGCCAAAAGTTAAGCAATAAGATGGACAGCAAGGACAAGACAGAGGACCAGGGAGATTAAGGGACATATAAAGAAATCAGTACAAGCTGAAGGTCTATCAGCAAGGCTAAATACACATGATAAAACTGTAAGATATCTATGCTACCAACATTCAGCATTTAAAAGGAATAAGATAGATCCGTATATACGTTGCTGAGTGAAAAAAACCAAACTACAAAACGAAACATAGAGTACACACATACACACAATAGATCAAATATCAGCAGTTAGAAGCAATCACAGCGTAGCACTGGTGGGGCAAGAGCTCTAGGGCTTGCAGATCCTGGTTACAGATCCTGGCTCCACCACTACCTACCTGCATAATCTAGAGCCGGCAACTGCCTAACTTCTCTATGCCTTAGTTTCCTCACTTAAAAAATGTTAAGCGATGACAGAAATTGTGAAAGTTGAGTGAGTTAATACATGTAAAGTGCTTAAAATAGCACCTGGAATCCAGTTAGTACCTAATAAGTGTAAACTATAATTACAATATCACAGGAACATAGATATCACCGTAAATACATACAGAATGTTCTGGAAGACAACCACCAAACTTCAAATAATTACTACTTCACTCTAAGGGGAAAGGTAAGGAACGTAGGTAATAAAGGTGGGTTTGGTCTTATTTTATGTTTGAATTCTTGCAAGGATGTACTTGTGTATTACATCTAAACTACAAATCAATGATAAAAATTGAAGGGATTTCAAGACGCCAAAGGCACCCAGGAATTTCTAACTTCCAGGTTTCAGAACAAAAACTATTCAACAGAACAAGAAAAAGCAGGAGGGAGCCAGAACGGCTGTAACTGAGGTCCCTGCCACAGAAGCAGCACTAGTTGCCAACACCTGAATCTCTCCCTTGGCCATATTCCCACCCCCGAAGTGGTTTCCCCCATTTCACCTTCCAGGCTGGCATCCCATGGTACTGGAGCTCCCCATCCCTGATGAAGTTGTAGAGAGGTGAATCAGGAACAGAATTCAGGTCCCCACACAAGACGATGGGGCAATGGCTGCCATCTGACAACCTGGCCACTTTGTCCACTTCTGCCAAGAGAATGGCCATCTGGGCCAGCTTGACATCACCCCGGCGTGGGTTGTATAAGACATGGGTATTTGCCACACAGAGAGGGGCCACCGAGACTTGCCCCAGGCCTTCTGGGACTAGTGGCTGCAACAGCAACACTAAGCCCACGTTGTCCCGATTGAGGAGCTCCAAGCCAGGCCGAAAGTACTCCACAGGGCTGGCACAGAGCAGACGGAATCTCGTGGGCTTGTAGCAGACAGCACAGCCATCTGTCTTACATCCGGTCCTCCTCTTGTAGAAACAGGTAAAACCTGCAAGGAACACCCAGCCAAGGAGATGGGTCAGAGTCCTTGAAGCCTGAATCCCTCCAAGCAGTGGCAGTAGCCGAGGCGTGTATGCCTAAGGCACTGCCCCCGCTGCTCCATAAGGGGAGTTCCTGTCCTTGCCAACTCCTTGGTTCTGCAGAGGTTCCCTTACAGTGGTAAGCAGATGACTGAGTGGCTAAAGGGGAAGTAGGACAGAAGGGTATGAAGAGACAGAACTCGACAGGAAAAGCATGGATTCTAGAGTCAAACAAATTCGGAGTCCTAGCTGCACAACCTACTAGCTTTGTAGCATGGTGACCTTGAGCAAGTCACACAAATTTACAGAACCTCAGTTTCCTCACTGTAAAACAGGGATAACAATACTCAACCTCACAGGGTTGGTTACTTCAAGGATTAAAGGCAATTCATGTCAATTAATTAATTCAAGGCAATTAATGCCAGAATTGCTTTAAAACTACAGAATTCTTTCTTTCTCACCCATACAAAGGAGGAGCTAGTGCACGGGTGAGAATGAGGATTTACTGAAGCAAAAGAAAAAGATGGTGCCTTCAGGAGAGAACAGACAGGGCCATAGGAAGCAAGACTGTTGAACACGCCAGCATTACCCATCATTCGCAGAGAAGGCTCCAGCTGCTCCCAGTAATGATCCTCCTGGACTTCCTGGAGACACAGGATCTGGAAAAGTGACAAGGAAACCAATCACTCCAGAGTACCAAGAGTGCTGGAGAGTGACTCCCACCCCAGGAGCAGGGACTGAGGGCAGGTGGAAAGCTGCTGTTGGTCTCAGGCAGGGTCACACTGAAGCTTCCCGCAGGGCCAACTCTTCCTACACAGCCACCCCCAGCAAGGAAAAGCCTAGACTTAAGCTGAGTAGACCCGAAGCATGTGCTGGGTTTTCCTGTTCCTTGAATCCCTCAAGTCTCCCTCCCTGCATAAAGGTGTTGGAAAGTGTGTACCCACGGAGTCTTCTGAACACCTGCCAAAAACTCATTTATTCCAGGCAAGAAGGCTCCAGCCCTAGGCAGAACTCTGACCCTATACACATATAAACTGTAAACTCATTTTTTTTTTAATTTTTTTTAACTTTTTTTTTTAATTTATTTTTGAGACAGAGAGAGACAAAGCATGAATGGGGGAGGGGCAGAGAGAGAGGGAGACACAGAATCGGAAACAGGCTCCAGGCTCTGAGCCATCAGCCCAGAGCCCAATGCGGGGCTCGAACTCACGGACCGCGAGATCGTGACCTGAGCTGAAGTCGGACGTTTAACCGACTGCGCCACCCAGGTGCCCCGTAAACTCATTTTTTAAGAGCATTTGGGAAATAGCCCCAGGTCCAGAGCAAATACAAGATGGCACCTTCCCCGCTTCATCACTCACATCAGGGTCCCAGTGCTGGAATTCCTGCATGAGATTCGCAAAGCGATAGTTCCAATTGAGGATGTCTGGGTGGCAATGCAGGTAGAGCTCTGAGCTCTGCTGCATCAGGTCCTGGGCCAGGATGTTATAGGACATTAGAGTGAACTGGAACTGAGGGCCATCCCCCGCCTCCAGGCCCTGAGCATCTGGCTGAGTAGAGAAATCCTCCCATTCTCGCCACAAGATTTCTGCAAAGGGGTTGGGGAGAAGAAGTCCACAAGAAGTACATGTTATCCACAGGCCCCACCATCTCCACTCCTGACTCAGAGATACTGTGTCTGAAGTTCCTTTTTGTCATCTTTCCTGTCACCCATCCCTCTCTCTGGCTATTTGAGCAGTACTCTATGGACATTTCCAGACTAGACAGCAAGCTCCATAAAGCCAGAGACAATCTTGGCCTGTTCAGCGTGGATCCCCAGTACCTAGCATAGTACCTGGCACCTAGTACATGTTCAATAAATGAAGGCTGACAATTTCTCACTTCTGATAAATCCATGGGTCTCTGTGGAGGATCCCTCGGATCAATGTGTTTAATAGTCACCTGAGGTTAAAGACATTTCGAGAGTAATCTTAGCCTTGGGTGTTTTCTAACCTTTATACTTGAAAAAGCCTGTGGAGCTGTAAACCACATGTTCCCCATCTCCCCTAGAGCATGGAGGTGCAAGTGGGCTCAACCCACTTGAGCCACAGAACTCATTCTTCAAATTTTAATGGAAGCCAAATATGTAGGTAAAACTAGAAGATAAAATTCTGGTTGAGGCAGAGTACAGGCCCTGAGATCTCTCCACCACTACTCCTAGAAACAGCGTCATGGAGAATCAGAATCAGATGCAGTGCTTTCGCTTCTGCATCTAGCCATGTGACTTCAGGCATGTCCTGCTACCTCTCTGCATCATGGTTATTTCATCTGAAAGACAATGGGGCTGAATGAGACGATCTCTAAGGCCCCTCTAGATTTGACACTGTAAGATCAGAATGCAGAGACAGAGCTCCCCACCAGAGAGTCTTTTCTTTAGCAATGGCTCTGCCCAGAGTGGAGACAAGCTGCTACCCTGGCTCACTCAGCCAGTTGTCAGACTCACCATGATACGGGATTTCCATCGGGGGAGGCTGCAACTGCCCCAGGCCCTCAAAAGGCCAGATGAGAGCCTCTTCCTGGGGCATAGGCTCAGGTGCTATGCTCCAGGCCACCACTGCAGGGTCCTCTTCCCACTGCTCTGCAGCCAGGGCACCCATTGGGAGGGCAGCGCAGTCTGCATACTGGGGGCCGGTCTGCATGGGGACAGCTGTCCACACTGGGCCCTCGACCTCTGGCAGTGGCTCGTCTCCTAGCACCTCAGGGAAAGGCTCCTCCAGGTTCTCTGCTGCCTGTAGATCACTCAGCTGCCTGCTGGACCACTTGTCCTCTGACACAGCATCCTGTTCTCCAGGATTATCCATCAGAAGCGCCAGGCTGCTCTGGGCTAGTCCCTTATCTACAAGGGGACCCTCACTCAAAGTTGAGAGCACCTGGCTCGACCCTTCTTCTCGCCACTGCTGTAGCAGGCCCTCACACTCCTCCTGGTCGGGCCCCCGAGGGGCCATGGCAAAGCTGCCCTCTACCTGGGTGGACGAGCTCTTCGCCAGGAGGGCATTTTTTCGACATGTGAAGAAAGCATCTAAGAAGCAAGGCAAAATACCATGTTATAAGATGACAACATCACCCAACCCATACCCTTCTCCCAACTAGAATGTAAGTCCCATACAAGCAAGAATCATATCCACCTTGCTCATAGTTGTACCATCACTGAGCCTGCCCATTTTAATACCTGGAACACCTCATCATTAGCATGAAGTGCTTACTACATGCTGGGTGCTATTCTAAGTGCTTCGTACATATTAACTAATGTATATGGTAGGGATCTAAAAGTATTCACTGTATGAATGAAAGAACAGCTATCCCACATAATCTAGGACAAAGATGGTCACCTGGAACCACATCCCTTTTATCTGGAGGTTAAGACTCCTATTAAACATCAGAACCAGAACTCTCTGGTTCTAAGGGCCATATTACATTGGAACCAGCACTTGACCCTGAATCAGAACCGTGAGTTACGATCTAGCAATGAAATTAACAAACCATGTGACCTTGGACAATGCCTCTGGTGAGATGAACTCATTCTTGCCTATAAAGTGGAGACGGGAAGTTTGAACTAGATAATCTCCAAGAGCCTTTCCAGTTTTATAAATCCTCTAACATACAAATACATTCCAAAAGAAAAAGTCCTAGACAAAAAGAGTGTCTCAAAATCTATACAATTTACTTCTTAGCAAAGGCCCTTGCTCTTTGTCTCAAAGCTATGTATTCTATTCATCAATCTTCACAAACTTCATTATCAGCTTTCCCATTCCATAACACACCAGAGGCTGTAAATCAGAAGACGCCAACAACTGACAGCAAGAGACAGCTGTCATCTCTCTGCTACGGCAGCCACAAATGACAGCCAACAGGCAAGAAAGCAGGTGGGAAAACTCTAAAATTAGAGCCCCCAAACTCCACGCACAGTATTTTGGTGTGAGCAAACACCCACACTCACTAAATCACTTATTTACAACACAGGACAAGTGACATGCACGACACTCACCCTCAATCACCAGAGATTCATTTTATCAGCTCTATTTTTTAAAAGGCAAGAAAAACTTCAAAATGGTTCAAATGTTGAAAGATACTATCTTATTTATAGTCTATGTTGATTTATGGCCCTCTAAACCAGTGGTTTTCAACCAGAGGGTAATTTTGCCCTCAGGGGACATTTGATATTATCTGGAAACACAGTGGCTGTCACAACTGTGGGGATGCTACTGGCATCTAGAGGTCAGAGGAGAAGGATACTGCTGAACATCCTAGAGTGCAAAGGACAGCCCAGGCCCAAATGTCCATAATGCTGAGATTGGGAAACCCTGTTTTAAATCCACGGGCTGTGCTGCTGGCTTTAACCTCAGGGATTTGCTAATCCCCTGCCCCTGGAAACATCCTCTGCATACCAGATGGAAGAGTTTCTCTTGTTTACAAGTGTGAAAGTATTCATTTTCAAATTTAGCAGATTTTTGGTGGTGGTGGTGGCGGCGCGGCGTCCGTTGGTTTTTCAACAGAATCGTTTTATGAGGGAGGGAGGAAGGGAATGGGAAGCATAGAAAGAAAACCTTCTGTAGGAACCAATACACAAAGTTGAAAGAAGTGGCACTACTTCTATGGGGGAGGGAGGGAGGGAGTGGCCCCTCCTGTGATCTCCCTAAACTCTGACTACTGGTCTATAAACCTGTGGACAAGTATACGTCACTAAGGCTGTCACGGGACATCGGAAGGGCTCCAGAAATGGCAGCACCGTGGGTAAAGGAATCTGCTTTAATTCTCTGAAAACAATTACTTCCGCGGAGCTTCTCATTCCTCAGAAGTACGGACACACAAATATTGCTTAGTTGAGTGCCTACTATATTCTGGACAGTGTGCTAGCGCTAGAGCTACAGGGAGCGGGACAGACATGGCCCTGCCCTCCTGCGGCTTGCATTCTAGCCACAGACACACACAAATAAATACCTGAGTGGCTATTTTACATACACACGTTGCGTAAAGTTCCGGAAACGACAAGCACAGAATGCAGCTGAACCGCGTGTCTAAGAAAGTAGTTCTTGGTCTGTCCCGCCCTCTAAATTGCCGGAGAACATTCTGGGAGTTCTGTGGGATCTGTCACAGGGACGGACGGTCTCCTAAGAGCCTCGGGAATTTCAAAGACCAGGAACGGGAGCGCGGGCAGATCACGGAAAAGTGACGGAATAACTCTCTTCTCTCTGGGCGCTGGCTCCACCGCACGGACTCTCTAAACCCAAAACCACGGGAGACCGCTTCAAAGCTGGGGGTTAAATGGTCTCCGGGTTGCGAGCACCGGGTTTTCAACCAGACACTCGGCTGGAGAGCGGAGAGGCGGCTGTGAAAGGTGAGTGTGGAGTAACCCAGGGGAAGGCAGGTGCGTGCGGGTCTTGGGCTCACATCCCCCGCCCCCAGGGAGTTCGGGCGTTTGCCTCGCCCCGAGTCGCTAACCCCTCCCAGGGCCGTGCCTCGGCGGGCCCCTTCGCCGGCCTCTTCCCACGTTAACCGTGGCGCGACGCCACCAGGCCACAGGCGTGAGGGGGGCAGCCCGCGAGGCTCGCCGGCCAGGCCCGGGCCTCGTGGGGTCCAGGAGCGGCACCGGGGGCCGCCTCCCCACACCTCGGCCGGGGGGAAAAGTGGTCGTGACGCCCGACGCGCCGCACGCCGGCCCCAGGCCCCGCGGGGCCCTGCCGACGTGGGCCCGGGCCTGGCGCCCGCCTGCCAGGACGCGGGGCCGGTACCTGAGAGGGCACGGAAGAGGCGCGCGGCCGGCAGCAGCAGGTAACACAGGCACGACGCGATCATGGCCGGCCGCCGCGCTCGCGCTCGCGCCCGCGCCCG